CTTTTCCATTCCCCAACTACAGGATTGGTTCAGGAGTGGCTGTGTGACTCCAGGAGGCCCAGTGAGAGTCTCTCCGAGATTTTGAAGGAAGTGTCTGTGAGGAAAGAGGTACTGAGTGTGGCTGGAATGGAATGGGGTAAGCCTGCAGCTGTTGGGGTTCCCACTTGTTGCATGCTTACCCCAGGATAAAGGCCAGAAAGAGGACATCAAGAGGCAAAGCCCAGCAGGATAGGGATGGACAAAGTCCTCCAGATAGCACTGGAGGTCTGGGTCCAGATGTGCTGAGACCAGGCCTGTCCCTGGCCTTTCCATTTACACAGTCAGAAAATCCCTTTTTGCACAAGTCAACTTGACATGGATTTCTACTCAGTAGAATCCTAGTGAACTGAAATATGCAGTAATGCTAGAAGTTATTTATTTATTTAATTCATTTTTGGTACTGAGGATTGAACCCAGGGCCTTTGCACTGAGCTACATCTCAGCCCCTTATTTTTTTTGAGACAAGGTCTCACTAACTCACTAAATTTTCCAGGCTGGGCTTGAACTCCTGCCTCAGCTTCCCAGCAGGCTGAGATTATGACTGTGCTACCATGCCCAGCCTAGAAGATGATTCTTTTCTAGCAAACTTTTAAAGCATTTTTAGCTCACTGTTGCAAATAGCAGGGAGTGAAAGCAGCACAATTCCCACTTCAGAGATGACAATACTGTGGTGCCCAGGGTCCCCTCTCCCACCACTGCACTGTAAGGAGGCAGCTGTCTTTGCTCAGCTTCTGAAACACTCTGATGAGTTCCCTCCTCTTTCCTGTGTCTGGCTCACATGGGTGCTGTAGCTGAGCTGACCCCAGCCTCACCCTTCCTGGAACAGTGTTCGGCCTATGTCTGCCTCAGTTTCCCCACTGACCCCTGTAGTGCCCCCTGAGCCTGGGACAGACAGAGCACATGGCGAACCAGACAAATACAGGACACCACTCACTGCCCTGCACCCCTCCCAGCGCCCAGCTGGTGGTGGTCGGTGGACAATGCAGGTCCTGCCCAGCCCCATGGACAATCTCCTTCCACATCAATTTTATAGAAATTGCCAAGCCCCCTCCCCATGATCTGCTATCTGTGCACCCAGAGCACCTCTCCCTCACTTGGGCAGGTTGTGGGATTCATACAAAATTAACCAGAGGTTCCGTTTCACAGCACTCTGCAGGATCCAGTTCCCATCTGCTGCTACAGTCATCTCTGTCCCCCTCACACTCCCCACAACACTCCTGCTGCTCTGGAGGTCCACAGGGGCCTGTCTGAGTCATAGTCAAAGATGTGGGTGTCAGGAAGTGAAGGAGGAAGGCCCAGAAAGCCATGTGTGGCTCACGGAAGTTCCATGCTGGGCCCAGGGAACAGAGCCAACTGTCCCATGGGTGGCACTTGGTGTCCTATGTCCTGTCCCCAGGCCTGCAGCTTCTACACAGTGCAGGAAGGGCACCAGTGCACCCTCTGTTCCTTCTTTCCTTGAATATTGCTTAAGGCCCTGGGCACTGCCCAGGGGTGGGGACACTACAATGAATAACATTCAGCTCCTGAAGCCAGGCTGCACAGATACCCCTGCTCTGGCCACCTGCCTCTCCATGTCCCCTAATAGCTGCTAACTCTTCACTGCCTCTCTCAAAGTGATTGGCTCATGTAGGCTGTTTCTAAAAGGTGTTTTACCATTGTGTTACCAGGTGTGGTAACAGCAAAGATAAGGAACATTACCTGTAAGCCTGGCACTGTGACATACTGAAGAGAACCCTTATGATACCTCTGCAAGGTGGTACTGTTATGATCCCCATTTCACTGAGGAGCCAGCTGAGGCCCAGGGAGACTGGATTTAACTCTCCCAGTGTTCCTCGAAGAGAAGGCCACTCAAGATTGAAACTATAGCTGGATGTGATGGTGCTCACCTGTAATCCCAGCACTTCAGGAGGCTGAAGCAGGAGGACCGCCATAAGTACAAGGCCAGACTGGACTACACAGTGAGTTTAAGATCAGGGCCGGGGATTTAGCTCAGTGGTTCCGCTGCCTGCCTCACAAGTGCAAGGACCCGAGTTCATCCCCGGTACCCCCCCCCTCCAAAAAAGTTTGTAATAAGATCAGCCTGAACTACATAGCAAGACTCTGTCTCAAAAAACTCGCCCCCAAAAGATTGAAACTACAGCCCTAGGCCAGTAGAATGTGGCAGAAAGGGAGCAGAGGAGAGTAAAAGAGAACCAGCAGTGGACAGAGAGGAAATGGTGCTCAGAATGGACAGAGGCTTCCCTGGCCTTACAGCCGGCCAGGGAGACCTGGAAGGGTGTCACCAAAGTCAGGCCTCCAGAGGAACAGTTGACATTACTAGGCCATGGGAGCTGAGCCCATGTCCTGCAGTGGCAGCAGGCGGAGCCACAGGTGGGATCTGACTGCTTGTGGCTGCAGACCCCATCTATCACTGGCAGAGACCTTTTTGCCTAAATGCAGCTGGACATAAAGGGCAGGCTAATTTATGCAAGGCTGAGTATTTTTCTGTACTGGGACTCTGAAGCTGGCAGGCTGGCAGATTGGCAGCGGGCAGTGCAGGCTTGGCGCAGCCCAGACCTTGTGGCTTTTAAGCTGGGGCTGGGAGGTGTGATATTTCTTTAATGACAAGAGGCCCCTAAGGGCAGAACAAATATGAAACAGGACACAGCATAAAGAGAGTGTTCTGTGGTCCTTCCTTCCCCAGGCCTGGCCCAACAGTGGACCGCACAGAGAACTGCTCCCATGGGGACACACAGGTGTGGTGTTTTGGAACTGTATTCAAAGCCTGTCTGACCTGGAGATGGAGACTGGGAGTCTTTGTGCCCCTCCTCTGTAAGGTGAGGTCACACCTCCACCAAAGGGCTCCTGTGATGAAGGATACAGAAGGGTCTAGTTCAAAGCCTTGCTGATGTGGGGATATCAGTCAGGCATCTGGAAGAGTCACAGTCCACTACTTCCAGAAAAGGTGGCTGCGTCATCCAGTACATCATCCTGGGCACTTGGTCTGAGTTCATTTATGTGCACAACCCATTTTATTGATGGGGAAATGGAGGTGTTTGGTCTCTGGGGCTGAACCCTAACACACAGAATTGCCCCTATGCCTGCATTGTTTTATGCCACTTTCTTCTGTCTTCACCACAGCCCTAGGAAGTTGTCACTGTGATTATCTCCACTTTACAGAGGAGGAAACACACCCAGGGAGGTTGAGCCACATGTCCAGAGCCCCAGGGCTGGTAGAGCTGGGCCTTGAGCCCAGGCCACTTGAATTTGGGATCTGCAACATTCTACTCTTCCGCACCTCCCCAGCCCTATCCCTGAGAGATCCTTCCAGAGTCCACAAGAGCAGGACTACCCACTACTTCTGCCACAGGCTCTCCTCCTTCTCAGAGATCGCTCTGCTCCAATATTAATTGGCCATCATGAGAAAGTAGGAACCCAGACCTGGAATGGTCAGACATGAGGCCCTGAGGCACATGCATGGCCCAGGAGGCTGGTAGGGGGCAGAGTGACAGTCAGAGATGTCATTATTTTTCCAGTTTACAAATGTGAAAACTAAGTCTTATTTTTCACACAATACTTCGAAATTGCCCAGGCTTAGCCTATGGACAAAGTGTCAGTGACAACAGGAACTTGTTTTTAGCTTTTCCTCTTGACCAGAGAGAAGAGACTGAAGACATCAAGGGGTGCTGGGCACCCCAGAGCATAGGTGCACATGACACTAGACTGAGTGGCCCAGCTAAGCAGTGGAGCCCACAGTGCAGCCTCTTTAGGATGGGTGCAGGGTTCATATGGAGCAGGGCCCAGCTGTGGTACTGCACATGGGAAATGCATTTCTCCAGTCCGGGTGCTGCTTGCCCTCTAGGTTGTGGTCTATACTTGGGGCAAGGACTGTGACGTACTTGTTGAATAATCGGATCTGCCTCTTATTGAGCCTCACAGTCTGCCTAGGCCAAAACCAACTGCTGTGCAATAGGCACTGGCCTCATCTCCCAGAGAAAGAAACAGGTTCAGGGCAGCCTTTGCATAGCCGCAGGACTGAGTCAGGGCAGAGCCTCACACCAGGCCTTCAGGGTTTGTTAGGAACCACTTCCCCATCATGGCTGGGAAGGGAACTTGAGTGGGTGAGAGTGCAGATGGGGACCCATGCTCTGAGTGCCAGTGCCCAAGCTGGGCTGGCTTCTCCTCTCTTCCCTCAACAGATGACCAACCTCGGGTCCTCTCCAGCAAAGCCCCAGGAGCTGAAAGCTTTTCTCACCGGAAATCTCAGGTTTGCTCATTTTGGCAATTGCAAGAAAACCCCACTCCCACTGCCAGAGGGCAAACAAGAACATCTGTCACAGCCCACTCTGTTGGTGTGTCCAGCAGCTCCACAACCACACAACTGCCCCCAGAACCCCATGGTTCCTGACCAGAGCCTGGATTTGGGAGAGACCTGCAACTTGCAGCAAGGCTTGCCTGGGCAGCTAGAGTTGACTGCAGTCTTTGGTGTAGTGGTTCCATACCAGAGTCTGGATGAGGGTGCTCCTGAGCTCAGGGCAGGGAGGATGGTGGCTGGGATCCCAAAGGGACCACTGTGGGAGGAGCCAGGGGAGTAGGAGTCCCTTCTGGGCATGGATGCAGGCTTCACTTGGGCTCTCTCCAGCCACCTTTCTGCCTCTGCCTTAAGGACTGGATGCCTGTTTGATTCCCAGGATAAGGAAGCCACCACCCCCTACAGTGGTCGTGAGGTGCCCTTTAGGCTGACTTGGCCCTGGACCCAGATCTCTTCCTGCAGTCCTCTCTGTAGGTGGCTTGGGTCAGACTTATCCATGGTGAGGCTCTATTTCCTGCCAACTCTGAAGGAGCTGACATTCAGCTAGAACACTAGAAAGGCAACTCTGGCACTTCAGCTATTTTGTAGACATACCTGCTGGTAAGTGTAAAGAATATGGCCCTGGGGCCACCTCAAATGGTAGCTTCTAGGGCTAGTGTCCCACACCTACCTTCAACAGGTGAGGTCTTGAGGCGCCGGCAGATGGCTTCAGTGTCCCCATATGTTTCCTTGATCTTGACCACAGCCTCCGTGCCCCGCAGCTCCATGAGGGAGCGGAGCTCCTCCATTGTGCACCCGAACTCGCCCCCATGGCTGGACTCATTTCTTTGGTTTTTGGAGTAAAAGTCACTGTTGGTCATATCACCCATGTTTGCTGAAGTCCCTGCTTGGGGTGGGCCTGAGAGTCTGCACTGGACACCAGGATTCTGATGGGGGGGAGCGTGTGTAGCTGTCCTCAGCACACCTCACTGGACTGCTGCAGCTCCAGGCGGCCGACTCCTGGTCCCAGGGGGTGGCAGTGGCTGAGGTGGGCTGGCAACAGCGGTGGTGAATTCTGAGGAATGTTCCCGAGTGTGGGGCAAGGTCCAGGGACCAGAGGGGCTCAGGGCTGCAGACCCAGGAGTCTCCATTCAGTGAGGCCCATGCTGCTCCCAGAGCTGGAATCTACATGGTCAGGGGCAGTGGCTCCTGTGGGGACAAAGACAGCATGGGTGACAAGGGCAGGCACAGGAGGCCCCATGGAACAAGTGCTCAGGAAGATCCATGGTACAGGTCTATACATACCAGCCCAGGCAACACGGACCACGTTCACATGTACTCTTAACACACATTTTGCTCAACGCTCCTAACATACCACCACATCCTGTAAATCCAAAGTTACCAGCACCCACCTAGGTACCCCAAAGTTTACCATCCTGAGGCATAGCCTGGTACAGCCTCACAGCACACTAGCCCCCTAATTCTTCACCATGCTGTGTAACACGCTAACTTCCAAACACATTCCCTGGGTGTACACACACCTCCAGCACGCACCCACCAACCCACAGCCCCACTTTACACCACTGTGATGGACACCTCTCACATACCATCATGCATAGCAGCATTTCTAGGCATACAACATTTGCCCACATCCCTTTTCCTCAAAAACACCTACATGCACAGCTCCTCTATGCACTCCAAGCCATTTCCCTTTTTCTGACTCCAACATGTTTACAAATGCACTGTGTCCACATGATCTGGGACGTGTCCCCTCTCCCAGGTATGGAGCCCGGGGCCTTATACAGAGATGATTTCCCCACTCATGCTACCTCCACATCCTACATCCCTCCCACTGGGATCCCACAGAGCCCCAATCTCCTTCCACAGCCCCCAACCATGTCAGCCAAGGCCCTCACCCTGGCCTGAGGGGCCAGCTCCATCCCTGTCCCAGAATGGGCCCTTGAGCCCTCACCTGGGACCCCAGAGACCAGCACCATAGACAGCAGCTGACTGTCCCTGCCAGAGCACAGGAGAAGGGCATGCAGGCCACCCGCGCAGGAGTGCAGCATCTGCAGGGCTGCCAGGAGAGAACCCAATCCACCTGGACACCCAACACCAGGGGCCAAGAGCCCTGCGAGCGTTGGGTGACAAAGGGCCCCTGCTGAGCTCCACTGAGGGCTGGCACAGGGACCAGCCCCGCCCAGCAGCTGTGGACAGCGAGGGGGAAGGGGACAAGGGGAGAAGGACAGGACTGAGCTGCTCAGCGCTGCCCCAGACCCTACCTGCTGGACCTTTCCTTCACAATGCTTTCTTCTTCCTCATATTTCAGAGCTGGAGACATTCAGGGTTAGTTTTATTTTCCCTGCGGAAACCCTGAAGCTCTGTCCAAACCACACAGAGCAAGAAAGCAGAGGAGCCAGAATGGGGTGGTCCCTGGCTCACAGCCCAGGATCTTCCCCCTTCCTCAGGGAGGCACTCCCTCCTTTCTCCTCAATGCTGAGCTGTGGGTGCACTGTACCAGGCAGTAGTTAAGAACACAGGATATGGAATCAGAGAGAGCCAGGTTCAAATCTAAGCTTTGTCACATCCTGGCTTGGCACGCTGGGTAAGTACCTCCAGTGTTGGAACCTCTAGTGTTCCTTCATGTGTAAAATGAAGTAATCATCACTCCCCTCTGTCCTCTGGCTACTACCCAACCTCCTGGGAGTAGTGATTCATGTTCAAATCTGCTGTATTTCCACCTGGAGTACTGGCCTTCTCAGATATGGGTCAGAGGTGCTGCAGCCTTAGGAGAAACCCACCATGCCTTGTAGGGGGTGCTTTTATTCAAGGACGCAGGAAGAAGCTTTCCCTCCATTTCCTTTTTACACTGGGACCAACAGGGATCAAATGGAGTAGAACACAATATGGACATGATACTTCCATAAGAGACGTGGATACCAGATAAATCAAGGGCTTGCTCTCCCATCTCCATTTCTGCAGGTGTGTTCACACTGGCATGCACCAGGCCCAGAACTCATATGAGATTTGACTCTAAGCAGGAGCAGGTGAGGTGGGGCCAAGCCTGTCTATAATAAGAACAGCATCACTGTGTCCACGCCCCCACTTCTTAAGCACATACCATGTGGCAGGGTGTGTATATAGTTTTATCTATCAGGGGCTGGGGTAGAGCTCAGTGGTAGAGCACTTGCCTCACATGTGCAGAGCCCTGGGTTCCATCATCAGCAGACAGAAATAAAGGGGTAGGGGGAAGAAGAAAGAGAATGCAGAGGAGGGGGAGGAAGAGAAAGAAAAAGGGAAACTATGCCTATGTTATCACCCATCAGGAGACAAATTCTGTGGAGGCAAAAATTTGTATGTTTTGTGTGCTGCTTTGATTAGAAAAGTACCTACTAGATACCTAACAAATAGTTGCTAAAGGAGTTAACAAAGCGCAAACAATATCTTACGGAATCTTCAGGTCCTGTGAGGTGGATACTATAATTATACCCATTTTATAGGCAAAGAAAATAAAGTCCATAGGAATGAAGTCATTTGCACAAGGTCCCACAGCAGGAAGGTGTCAGAGAGTGGAAGACTTTTTTAACCTAAGACCGTAGACCCTTCTTGATCACCTTATAAGAAAGGGCTGGCTCAGTGGCCCACCCTCAGTATCAACCTCACAGATGAGGTTTTTCATGTAAAAACTTAGAACCAAGTCTAGTACATGCTAAGTACTCAGTGATTACTGTGATTGTCATCAATCCACATAACCACTTTTTTCGACAGGTAATCTTGTCATTGCCACAGAATACATGCACAAACCAAGACTAAGAAAGTTGAACTCAACTGCCCAAGGTTACATGGCTGAGCAGTGGGAGAGCTGGGGGTCTGGAAGCAGGCAGCCTGTGTTCTGAGACATACTCCTAGTCAGGACACTTGAGGCCTACTCTGGCAAATCCCCCTCAATGACTTCTTATGAGGCTTAAATGAATTGCCATATGTGAACCAGAGGGCTTTGGAAGCCACAGGGGACTTTTTAAATCTGAGGCACTGTTTTGCATCTGTCCCCCAGCTACCTGCAGCATAACTTAAAGGTGCTGGTAATTCCATCTCTGATAGCACAAGCTATGAGAATCGCCAGCAGCAATTATATCTGTGATCACAGTAGTAGGCATAAGTTAATGGGGTACTGTCAATATTAATGACTATTACGTTAAAATCAACTGTAATCTTCAACCATCTATCCTGTGAATCCATCCATCCATCCACCCATTCCCCAATTCACTTACCCTCCAATCCAACTGCTGATGCATCCACCCATGATGCATTCACCTATCCATATATTTGTCCACCCATCCATATATTTATCCCTCCATCCATCTACCATTTACTAATCCACCCATCCAAACACCCATGCATCCATCCATCTATACATCTGTCTGCCCATCCATCCATGTGCCAATGCCCCACTCATTCATTCACCTATCTGCCCATCTACCTATCTATCCATAGGTTCCCATGTTTTGGAAACCTATTTGTTGCCAGGAAAACATGGCCATGACCTCTAGGAGCTGACAGTGAGGAAAAGAGACTAATTAGTGATTTCCATGGCTTAAAAGGTTGGCCACAATGGGAACCTCCAGGTGCTGTGTAAGTCCAGAGCAGGAAGATCTGACCCAGCCCAAAGTAATAGGACAGGCCTTTCTTCTTAAATCTGACTAGGAAATATTTTTTTTCCCTGCAGATTAAGCAGCACTTAAGCCAAAAGATGCACCAGGAAGAAAGAGAAACATACAACTGTTAGTATAGGCTGGCAGAGACACAGTAAAAGATGCAGGAAGGGACTGATAGGAACAAGTGTGGAGGATAAAAACTAGGATACCAGTCAGTTCAAACTGAGAGCTCCACCCCAGGTAACTGATCTCATGTCCCCGCCCCTTCTGATGCTGCTTATGCCTGGCCCCAAATCTCTTTGGTGCACATATGAGGTCACCTCTGTTCTGGGTGTCTTGGTCTTCCTTCTAAGTTATCTACCTCATTTCGGTACTTGCTCTGACCAGGAGATTTGCTCAATTAAAAAATTTGAGGTCCACGTTCAATCACCAGTACCACACACACACACACACACACACACACACAAAATAATAATAATATATATAAAATAATAAAATAATGTGAGGTCCACAGGCATAGAACCATTTGATAATGTAATGCAAGTGGATTGACATAGTGTGTGTAGACTCTCTCAGCTCCTCAAGCCTACAGCTCTGCTACATACCTGCAGAGAAGACTCTCCACTCCCTGCACTATGCCCTCCCAACAGCACTGTCCTCCTCAGCCCCAGGTTCCCTTTCTGGAAATGTCCCTCACCATGTTGCCTACATAGATTCTCCTAGCACCCAGATACCTCAAGTGTAGCCCACCTCATACTTCATTGTTCAGGCCTGCTTAACTCTGAACCTTTTCCCAGGGACCTGAGAGCATCAAATGGACAGTAGCCATGTCTGCTTTGTACGTGGTACAGTGCCTGGCATCTAGAAGGTGGTCAATTAATGTTTAGTGAATAAATGAATATCTGGGTCAACTTTAGGTCTGTATAAGAGATATGACTTTAGATAGGTCCTCAGATGACCTCAGTTTCTTCTGCAAAATGGGCAAGTGATTCCTGTCCTACCTACTTTAGGGGTTTTCTGGGGGTCAGGAAAGGTAAGAGTCAGTAGTCATGGCTTTGTCTTTGAGATGCTTCTCCTACCCTCCACTTTCCAGTTCCCTCCTGTGTAATGGGTAGGGGTAGGAGGCTGGAGCTGGGTCAGGCTGCTGTCTCCTCAAGCCATGGCTTCACTGGACTCTGATGTTCTAGATGCCTCATCACATGCCAACCATTTCACAGCTGAGGGACGAAATGAGCTGCATGACCTTGGAGAAGGCTCCTGAACTTGCTGAGCCTTACTGTAGAGATGGCCCCATTGGTCCTCAGGCTTCTGTGAAGACCCTAAAAGATCCAGCTCCCGGTCTGGAGCAGATACTCTACAATGATGGCTTCCTGGAGTCCCCCCACACCACCCCAGGTCATCAAAAGGGTATGTAGGCAGTCCTGGGCCCAGAGAGGTTGAGCAACACACCAGGGGCCACAGAGCCAGTGGAGGCCAGGGCCTGGTGAGAAGCTCTTTCCTGCTGTCCCAGCTCCATCCTTGTGACCTTAATCAAGCATCTTCCTCCCTGGGCCT